GTAAATTGAACTTTAAACAGAGTAAGTTTATTAAAATATTTTTAAAAAGGGAAAGTAACCAAAGCCCTGCTAGAATAACAGTTCTAAATAATGTTACTGTAGTTATTCATTAAAAAGCAGCAAATAGTTGGCGACGTTGGAACATGTCCAATAATACCATGTTTTGCAATATTTGTTTTGGGGTTTTTAATGGAAAATTCCTGGTTCCTGCCGTTCTTTTCAATACATAAAACTCGGTCAGAAGCACGGTTTCTAGATCTCATGGTTGTATAGAAAAGCATACGAAAATGTGAATAGGAGTTCAAAATTGAGAAGAGCAGTAAGAAGTATGTCAGATGCAGTCTGTGCTGTGGCTGTGAGTATAAGCAAGGCAGTTTTTACATCTGTGTATGACATTGGTGAGAGCAGCAGTGAGATACCGTATCTGATTTCGGTGCTCTTATCTTTTTAAGCCTTGAAAAATTTTACAGAAGTTGTCTGGAAGGGTTGGAGGGCTAGAAGGATATTTGTATGGACAGACAGATCATTGATTTTGGGTTGGTTTTTTCTTTTATTTTTCAAATTGCCAACATTTTTCCAGTGCTTGCGTTACACATAATATAATGCATTTCATTTGACAGTAGGTTTGCTTCTCTTAGATGACTTTCTGCAAGCCTTTGAGAAGCAGACCACAGATGAACTCTTCTAACAGTTAACAGATTAACTTCTAACTCTGTAGAACATGAGTTGGAAGTCATTGAATATTTTATTCTTAAGGCAGAGGATGGCCTTGTCCAGCAGCCCTGGCATCCCTGTGCAACTGGAATTACAGCACACGCAGGGTCCCCACTGCATCAAAGTGGGACAAATTGGAGGGCAGATCCCCTTCCACGTAGGACAGAAGGTCAACCATTCCTTTTGCATCTGAGAACACTGCAGTTCATTATGTGTAATTCACTAGTAATTCACTAAAGGATACTTAGGATTCACTACAGGATTATGAGTAATTCACTAAAGGATATTAATTTGGCCTGAGAGCCCAGATCTAGAAGCTGAGCCCTGACATGTTAGACAAATTAGGGATCACACCCGAATTTTAAAAGGAATGACTGGCCGTGGCAACAAACTGCTGCAGGACATGGTAAATTCTGGGTTGCTTGATATTTTTGAAGCCATCTGGAAAGTCACACTATTGTCAGATGCGAGTTCTTTGGTTCACGGGGCTAGAAGGACAAAAGTTTTGAGTTTCTAGGTCTGTGGCAAAATGGAAATTGAACTAGATATCTAAAGTGTATTTTTGATATTAAACATCAAAGAGTCACTAAAATAGGAGTTTTGAGTAGAGGTAACTCTGGGTGGAGGTTCTGGTTCATTAAATTCTCCAGTTTGACAAAGTGCTTGAGCACATGGAGCTTGGTGTTGAAAGGGAAATGATTCAGGAAAGGGGTGATGTTAGAAACACAGGTAAGAAATGACAAAAATAGGTTTATCTCTAAGGAAAGGCAAACTGGCTTATCTAGTGAAAACCATCTCAAGGCCAGATGTTTAAGACGAGATTTTCTATTTGAAAACCCCCTACTCAAAGCTGATGTTGGGGGGCTTTCAGGCTGTAGAGGAGTTTGTGATGTGAGTCAGTAAATCAGTGTGACACTTTTCAAAAAGCTCAGAGAGAAGGATTGAGCAGCCCTTCCTCCCCCAACGTGGAGGCCAAACCTAGAACACAGTGTCTGTTTCCAAACCCTCCTTATCAAGCTCTGAACGTCTCAGTCTGAGATGCGACTTCCAAATTTTAATTGTTACAATTCCAGTCAGTTGCTAGTCTGCTGCTGCGTTGGCTGCTGTGCCCTCCTTTCAGTAGAATAATCTTGGGTGCTTGTCTTTTAAAATTTAAAATGGCTTGTACGTTTTCAGTAATCAATTGTCCAAAGGACAGCACATTCCTGTTGGACTCGAGCACTTATAGGGCTGTAGTCAGTCTGTCTTCTCACGGAGTCATTTTCTTGGATGGGAGTCATCCCCTTGTGTTGTCCTCCTGCTTCTCCCGCACACACACTGTTGAAACAAGGAAAAGGGACCAATATCTGATTGATAAGGGCAAAGAGAGGAGCTTCTTCTCACTTCTGTATTTTCCGGGCATGAAAATGCCTTTTTTGTGGATTTGTATATCCTGGTTTTGTAGCACATGTCTACGGCTACACTCGAGCTACAGCTTTATTAAACATGGCAGTTCTCGGTGCTGCTTTTCAGCTCCAGGGCCACTTGACCATATCTGTGTTACCAGGCACTCTTGGCCTTGAGTTCCATGCAAAATCTTGAAAAAATTCTGTGAATCGGTCAGGAGTGCACTGGTTGACCCAAAACTGTGTCAAAGACAGCTACGGTGATTTAATAATGCTGCAGAGGATGGTGTGTAGATGCAACAGTGCCTCTTCCTGGGCACTATTTAATTTACTAGTATTGATGTGTCTGTACCCTCAAGTGAGGATAGACCTGTTCCCATTGCCTGGTGAGGTCTGTGTGGTGAGATGTTAGGTGGGAGTGTCAACCTCCTTGATGGCTCTAAAGAGGGGTCTGGACAGGCTGGCTGGATGGGCCAAGGCCAATGGTTTGAGGTTCAACGTGGCCAGGTGATGGGTCCTGCACTTGTTTTACAACACCCCCATGAATGCTACATCTGGGCCAAGGCCAATGGTTTGAGGTTCAACGCGGCCAGGTGATGGGTCCTGGCACTTGTTTCACAACACCCCCATGAATGCTACACGCTTGGGGAAGAGTGGTTGGAGCTGCCCAGGAGAAAAGGGCCTGGTCTTGGGGAAGAGTGGTTGGAGCTGCCCAGGAAAAAAGGGCCTGGGGATGTTGGTCGACTGTTGGCTGAATGTGAGCCAGCAGTGTGCCCAGGTAGCCAAGAAGGCCAACAACATCCTGGCCTGTCCCAGCAATAGTGTGGCCAGCAGGACTGGGGCAGTGATGGTCCCCCTGTACTGGGAACAGGTCAGGCCCCACCCTGAGGGCTGTGTCCGGTTTTGGGCCCCTCACAACAGGAAAGACATTGAGGTGCTGGAGCGTGTCCGGAGAAGGGCAACAGAGCTGGTGAGGGGTCTGGAGCACAAGTCTTGTGAGGAGTGTGTGAAGGAGCTGGGGGTGTTGAGCCTGGAGAAAAGGAGGCTGAGGGGAGACCTTATTGCTCTCTCCAACTCCCTGAAAGGAGGGTGTAGCCAGTGGGGGTCAGTCTCTTCTCCCAAGGAACAGGCGATGAGATGAGAGGAAATGGTCTCAAGTTGCCCCAGGGGAGGTTTAGGATGGATATTAGGACAATATTTTACACTGAAGGGGTTATTAAGCCTTGGAAGAGGCTGCCCAGGGCAGTGGTGGAGTCGCCATCCCTGGAGGTATTTAAAAGATGAGTAGATGTGGTGCTGAGGGACATGGGTCAGTGGTGGGTTTGTCAGTGTTGGGTTGATGGTTGGACTTAATGGTCTGAATGGTCCCTTCCAACCTGGACAATTCTATGATTCTGTGTTACTCCCCTGAAGACATCCCTTGCTACACCCCCAAAACTGACGGGCTTGATTTACTGTACTGTGATTGATGTATCTGGAAAAAGACTAAACACAGCAATTGAAAAAGTTCTGTCACTCTGTGACTCGTGTTGGGGACTTCTCTGTGCCAGTGCAGAAATGGAAATAAGGAGGGATCTTCAAAATCTGTGGAGAGAAATAGGCAGCCCTCTCCCTGGAAGGTCTAGCATAATTGTGACAGCCGTCATCCCTCTCCTGCTTTTTGTAGGGACCTTGGAATTCTTCCTTGACTTTCCGGAGGCTGCTGTTTGTCTGCTCTCGCTTGTAGGGATTGTACATGAGCTCTGTCATGTCTCCTGGAGTTTGAGTGATCTCTTCACCCTACTCTCCTGCAGGAATTGTAATAAACCCTTGACTCGTAAGAGCATTGACAAGAACAATAGAAAATGCTTTGATCTCCTTGCCAAATTCTCTCTGCCCTCCATCTGCCAGCCCTTCTTCTCAAGATCTTGGGTTCTGAAGGAGGTGATCTTGTCATTTGTGTGCCATTTGGATCTGTAGTGAGGAGACTTAGGAAGGAAAAGAGATTAAGGAAGCATATTGTGATATTTTAATATTTTTTTTCCAGTTCCATTTCTGGTCTTTGCAGCAAAAACATTGGATACTCATTGTTCTGGTACCTGGGGAAGTTTAGGAGTTAAAAATGCTTTTGATGAGCTACCACGATGATTGAGTTACAGGAGAAGCCTGCCTTTGGAGGGAAAAAGGCTGGAGACTTATTTCTTTAAATGAAAGCTCAGCAATAATTGGATGTGCTGCACTTTTCCTTGTTAGGGCAGGAGATCTGTGACAACACTCCAGGTTCAAAAGTTACTAACTTCAGACATGGGACTTCAGTCAAATCAACTTTGGTCCCACAGGCCACTAGAATTTCCGCTAAGTGTGTTTTTATCTTCTTTTTTTCAAGGGAGCAAGAAAAAGTTAGGGCAACTTGAACTCTTCAAACTTAAGATTCAAAAGAGTTACGGTTCATAAGTCTCATGTTGTAACTCGTTAAAACTTCTCCAGAAAAACTCAACCTCTGGTCTCAACCTAACGGTTTCAGAATATGAGATTTCTGTCTGGTGGATACCTAGCAATGGGCAAGATTTGGTCTGAAATCGAGTTGCAGCTTTAATTATTGAGCAACCATTCTCTGTCAGGAGCAGCGGTTTATCAAAAGCAGAAGGGTACTAACTGCAGGTTTATTGAGGAAAGTCTAGGAAATACTAGTAGAAGAGAGAAATGCTATTTAAACACTTCAAAGAAAATAAGCCCTTCTCCACTTGTGTTCATGGGAGGTTGCTGCTGGGCTTGTTTGGAGGTGGACTGTTGGGCTGCCATCTCTGCCATGTGTGACTTGGACGAAAATTGATCTTTCCTGGGTATAAGGTACTTTCCATGTGCCACAGAGAACTACTGAACTGAAGTATTTGCTTTTTTCCATTTTTACCTTGTTTTTAGTCTGCTGGAAACCATGTCTCACTACACAGACGAACCAAGATTTACCATAGAGCAGATAGACCTGCTTCAGCGCCTGAGACGTACCGGAATGACCAGACATGAAATCCTCCACGCGCTGGAAACCTTGGATCGTCTTGATCAAGAGCATAGTGACAAATTTGGAAGAAGGTCTAGCTACGGAGGTGGTGGTTCCTACAGCAACAGTACCAACAATGTCCCAGCATCTTCCTCTACAGCCACAGCTTCAACACAGACACAGCATTCTGGGATGTCCCCGTCCCCCAGCAACAGTTACGACACCTCCCCACAGCCTTGCACTACTAATCAGAACGGGAGGGAGAGTAACGAGCGGTTGTCTGCGTTCAACGGGAAGATGTCACCTACCCGCTACCCGCTTGCAAACAGCTTGGCTCAAAGGTCCTACAGTTTTGAAGCTTCTGAAGAGGACTTGGACATTGATGACAAAGTGGAGGAACTGATGAGGTTAGTAGAAGTCTTTGTAAAAAAAGTTTGGAAAGTCAAGGTGAGAAGTCCCTCAGAAGAAATCTGCAGGTTGGAGGCCTGCTCTAGCAGTGCTAGGTCTTCCCAAGAAAGCGGGAGGTGGGTTAGAAAGCTATTCCCCTTCTAGTTCCCTAATGGGCACCATCCCAGTACCTCTCACCTGCCCCTTAGTCTTGTGTTTAGTTTACTGTGTCCAGTTTTTGGGCCCTCTACCATAAAAAAGACATTGAGGTGCTGGAGCGGGTCCAGAGAAGGGCGACAAAGCTGGTGAGGGGTCTGGAGCACAAGTCTTGTGAGGAGAGGCTGAGGGAACTGGGGTTATTCAGCCTGGAGAAGAGGAGGCTGAGGGGAGACCTTATTGCTCTCTCCAACTCCCTGAAAGGAGGGTGTAGAGAGGTGGGGGTCGGTCTCTTTTCTCAAGTCACAGGCGACAGGACGAGAGGAAATGGCCTCAAGTTGCTCCAGGGGAGGTTCAGGCTGGAGATTAGGAAAAATTTTTGGTTGAGGCCCCATCCCTGGAGGTGTTCAAAAGACAGGTTGATGTAGTGCTGGGAGGTCTGGTTTAGTGATGGTGATGCTCCTTGTTTGTTGTGTGGGTGTCTATTTTTGTCAGTTAGATTGATGGTTGGACAAGATGATCTTTAAGGTCCCTTCCAACCTAGAAGATTCTGTGATTCTGTATCCCACGGGCTGCTTTGCTGTTGAAATATTTTTTTCCATACTTTACCAAAAATTGAGATCCATGTCTGTGTTCAGTTTCCACCCTTCTCTTACCAGACTTCCCAGTGTCAATTCACGTGCCTGCTCCTCCACTGCTTCCCACCAGTTGGATTCCCTTCCATATGTAGAGGAAGTTTGGAATCTGCTTGGTTAATGCTCAACCTAGAAGATTCTGTGATTCTGTATCCCACGGGCTGCTTTGCTGTTGAAATATTTTTTTCCATACTTTACCAAAAATTGAGATCCATGTCTGTGTTCAGTTTCCACCCTTCTCTTACCAGACTTCCCAGTGTCAATTCACGTGAACCTAGAAGATTCTGTGATTCTGTGTAGGTATCCCATGGGCTGCTTTGCTGTTGAAGTATTTTTTCCCATACTCTACCAAAAATTGAGACCCATGTCTGTGTTCAATTTCCACCCTGATCTTACCAGACTTCACACACCTGCTCCTCCACTGCTTCCCACCAGTTGGATTCCCTTCCATATGTAGAGGAAGTTTGGAATCTGCTTGGTTAATGCTTTCCAGTGGGATCTGCAGAGCACGTAGATTATCAGTTTATAGTTTGTGGCTGGGGCTGACTCTCCCTGGGATTCACAAGGCCTGCAGATTGGCCCAGGAAAATACAAATAATAAAGAAGAAGCAGAAAAACTTCAGTGAGAGCCCGTTGCCTGGTTGGTTGGTTTGGTGTTTTTTTCCAGACTGACCTTCCTTTACTTTTAGCTGCTTCCTTTTCAGCAGGATGGCAAAGATTAAAGGAAGGGATTATACCGCTGAGGATGAAGGTCAGAGTCAGTGTGCTCCATAGCAAAAAGAAATAAAAGGAAAGGCCAAATGTCTCAAAACATTTTTGGTCATAATGTCTTTTTTTTTTTTTTTTTCCCCCCCTAAAAAGTACCTATGAGAGAACTAGAGGGTCCATAAGCTCCAGGATGAAAATACATGTGAAGGAGTTTGGAGATTTAGGGTAAAGGTGTGGCTTTTAGGAGAGAGGATTAGAAATGAGCGGTAAGAAAAGTGAATCAGCCTCATTTACTGGTGGGTGGAAGGTAACGGAGAGGTGTAGGAAGGTGGTGAGTACAGCAGGATGCAGGAGTGCCCCCTGCCAAAGTTTAATCATTCCTTTGAGTTTGGGGTTCCTGGGCAATAAGTCTTATTTAAATTAAAGCTACTTTTATTTGCAGGCATGTGGAGGATGAGTGTTGGGTACAGAAATAAAAATGAACCCACAACGTAGCATTTATTTTGCATTTACATTTGCAGGCTTGAATCTGCCTTGAATGTCACTGGGGCAGGAGGATTGAAGGGGAAGGGAAATTACCAAGTAATAAAGCCTAATAAAGCCTGGTTTTAATTGTCTGCCCTTCTCGGGAAGGGAGGGAGGAAGAGGAGGGAGAAGTATATGTTCACTGCAATGGAAACGTGCTCCCTATCACAGTCCCTGCACAACCTCCACATTATTTACTTCTTAGCACAGTTTTAGTCCTTTCTGAACTATCCTTGCACACCTTGAAAAAAATCATACAAAGACTGTAAATAACTGGCACTGGGTCATTGGGTGCAGGCTGTGGACTAAGGAAGTAGGGGACAGAGATTGCAAAATCTTTTCTCCTTTGGGTCTTTTCCTTGAGAGGCTGGAGGAGATTTGGGTATGTCTCTTCATTTGGGTAGCAAACCATGCAGACCCTGCCATCCTTTCTTTTTTTATTTTTTTTTTTTTTGTGCCTCATTTTTATGACTGAGGGTTTTTATGCTGGTACGAGAGAGATTTATTCATCCCTGTGTAATGAAACTTTGTACATTCCATATGGCAGTGCTGCACCTAATATGAATTATATAGGACATGAGTCATCCCTTCTGCTGTGAGGGTACTTTGATCAGACGTGACACTTGTTAAAAGAAGTGTCCACTGCTGAGGCACTTGGACGATTTTAACGCCTACCTTCCCCGTCCCCTAAATAAAGGAAATAGAGCCATTTTGCATCTTCAAAGTCCACTTTGGTCTGTCTGTCTTTTTGTTTGTTCTTTTGTGGTTTGTTTTGTTTTGTTTTGTTTTCTTTTGGTAGGAGGGACAGCAGTGTGATCAAGGAGGAAATCAAAGCCTTCCTAGCCAATCGGAGAATTTCCCAAGCGGTTGTTGCACAGGTAACAGGTAAGAGCTGGGGAGCCCTTGCTTCATTTTGGGGGGAAATTGTGTGGAACTGCCTCTCGGTGCTCGGTGCAGATGTTGGAATATTGCTTGGCTTTCTGCATTGCAGTGCAGATCTGTCAGCTTAGTCATGATAATGTATGCCTTTGATTTAAGACCCATTGTCCCGCACATCATGGAACTTCCCCAGTGAATCACTTTTTCGTTCTTTTTTCCTTTTTTTTTTTTTTTTTCCCTTTTTGTGGCTTGTGCTAGCAGATTTTTATTTTACAGCATGATAATAAGCCCAAAGTTCTTATCTTAAAATGAAAACCATTTTCCTTAATTCTTAAATTGTTTGTTGAGTGCGGCAAATAGATGCATATCTGCATCTCTATGTATGGAGAGAGATACTATATGTAATATGTATTTCTATTATAAACTGCGTATGAAAAGTCAGGGGACACAGCTCTAACTGGTATCACCACATCCAGGAGTCAGATTATGATAGTTTGAAGTTTTTCAATCGCTTGCCTTTGAGTCATGGTTAATGAAAACCAGATGTGAGGTTGAGGGGCTGACCATGTTGGCTCTGATTTTACCTAGAAGGAGTAGTTCTCTTTTTGCCCTCTGCTCTGTCCCTTCTCTCTTTAACATTCAGGACAAGGGAACAGACTGCAGTGATACCATTTCTTCCTTGGGTGTGTTTCCAGAGCTTTACACAAAGAGTAACCAAGTCTTAACTGCTTCTCTATGGGGTGGGGTGCTCTTAGTTCTCCTGTCCAGGCTCACAGTGCTCATCTGGAATAGCATACTTAGATTGAAGACTTGATGATAAAATTGAGATAGCTCATGTTATACCCATAACATTTATTCGTTTGCAAATGCAAGCTTGAATAAAGGATCTTGAAATAGCTTGTTTTTAAGGTTCCTTGCTGCCTAGGAATGCCAAACCAGCAGGAGGGAAAGTTGTTCTTTTATGATATTTCTAGTATTTGAAATGTCACGAGAACCCATCTGCCTGGGAGCTCTGGGTTTGCAGACATGCAGCAGCTGAGGTAGGTGGGCAGAAATGGGTATTTTGAGCCATGGAGCCAGGGATTCCTTCCACGGCTCCAACTCTTCTCTGTGATCTTGGGCAAAACTCCTTGTCCTTCTCTGGTTTCAGTTTCATCTGTAAAATCATGAGATCGACACTTTGTATAGCTCTAGGAATGTAATTAGCTTTATCAGATATTAACACTAGTACTTCAAAAATGAAATACTGAGTCTGTTGGTTTAAATTGTACCTGAACTCTGAAGTTGTGGATCATCCCCTCCTTTTGCTCAGTCCTTGCCTGGATATGGCCCTGGAATAACCCAGCTCTGAATTAACCTCTGTATAACATCCTTCACGTCTACCAGCAAGTCAAACTAACTTCCCCTTCAAGAGAAGAGGAAAAAGTTGCAGAAATGGTCCCTTCCAACTCTAAAAACTCAGTGAAAAGAGTCTTTTCAAAACAAGCCAGCATTTTATTTTTTTTTTAATCCGTGGGACTACTGCATGCAGGGCTGTTGAATCAGAATCACCACACCAAGTCTAAGAAGAGTCTGTATCAGTAAAAGAAACTGATTTAATTATTTTTTTATTAATTTTTAGTATTATAATATGATTAGCCAGATGTCTCAGTGCATGTTGTGATACCCCAGCAGCCGGACTGTAGCAAACCCAAGACCAGTCTCAAGATCCCACTCAACCCTGCTGTGTAACATGAGGGGAATCCAGAATTGCACACACACAGTGAGCAGAGAAAATACAACCAGATGCCTCTTTTCTAGCCCGTCAGTGGGACAGAGCAGAGACTGAACTAATGACACTGTGATAATACCTTGTTTTCAAGCCAAATCAATGGGAAAACAGGTAGGATCTAAAGGTTAAATGGCTACGTCCTTTTGCAGCTGACCCAGTAGTGTCTCCATGGACCTTTCCGAGAAGAAAAGAAAGTGATATTTTGCACGTGATGCTGTTTCTCAAGCAGAGAGAGCTGCAAGGCTTGCTCTGCACCGTGTCACACCAGCCTTTTCCTCCTGCCACCCTTGGCAGTTGAGCTGTGTCATCCTCCATGTGCTCGGTGGGAAGGTCCAGGGGAGCCCATTCATTTGAAATATAACCCGTAGCCTCCTGCATGCAGATGCTAGTGCCACTAGTAAGCACAGAGTTATGGCTTATTTGAAGGGAATAGTAAATCTCAAAGAGATGTTTGAGGACCAGATTAAAGAGTGTGTACTCAGCACTACTGGATAGAAATGTCGGCTTTCTCTCAAAAGAAAAATGTCTCAAAAGAGGCATTTCTCTTTTTTTTTGTGGTTGGACTCAATGATCTCTGAGGTCCTTTCCAACCACTACAATTCTGTGATTCTGTGATTCTGTGAAGAGTGACTGAAAAGAACTCAGGACAGAGATTCAGAGCAGAAAGTGTGTCCCGAGGCTCTCACTCCCAGAGTTGTCTGAGGCCCTGATGAGTGTTAGTTGACTGGTGTATTCTTCAGATGTATCCAACATCCCTTCCCATCCAGCTGTGAAACAGGCTCCCAGGGAAGGCCTGGAAACCACTTTGGGTTCCTTAAAAAAGCCATTTTGCAATGGCATTGCAGGATATATGATCCCAAATGGTGTCATCTCAGTATTTACAGTCTTGGTCTTATGGGTAAAGCTGTTCTGTAAATAATTCAGTAAATAAGAGAAAAAAAATAGATAAATAAAACCCAAAGAGTGGTCAGTAGGGTTGTAGGGGAGGACCACAGGAGTGAAATGATGCCTTCTCAGAGTCCTGTTCAGCCTCCAGTGATCTGTTAGGGGAGAACTTTAGAGTAGGGTAGATGGTTGGACTTGATGATCCCGAGGGTCTCTTCCAGCCTAGATGATTCTGTGATTCTGTATTTCAGGGTCCTCTTTATTTATTGCACATGGAGGTGGAACCCCGTCCTGACCTACAGAGAGGCTGTGAAAGAGTGTGAAAAGGGGGCAATTCTGCAAGAAAAGATCAGTAACCCACAGAGGCTGCTGTGCTCACAGCCTCCAGCCCCGTTGGTGGTGATACAGACATAACCAGCTCTTTCTGGAGGCTGCAGTGCAGATGTTGGGCATATTTGACTTGCCCATGCTTTGGCTACCACCCTGCATCAGCTGGAAGTCATTTGTTTAGCCCTTGAAATAAACGCAGAATAGCATGGCCTCAGCTTTTAACGTTCATCTCTTCTGCCCCAGGAGGAGAGGCAAGAAAGATGTGAGAAATTTATGGGTGGTTCTGTTCAGAAGGAGAGTTGTTTGGCTTGGCTTCCCATGCTGTCAGCTTTCTCCTTTCTGTCTTTACCAAATTCTTTACTGCTACAAAAAATTGTTTCTGTAATGGGAGGGCGTAATGGAGTATCTGATATTAGGGATATTAGACCTTTAGCTGGGAACCTAAAGCTTTGCTTCCACTTCTTAGATACGGCTGGGTTTGAAGTTGGCCAAATTGGATGTGCAAGTGATGAATTTCAGTGTATCTGTATGTCTTCAAATTGCAGGTCTTGGGTTAGCTCCTCAGAGAGTGTAACGTTTCCCTGGTGCTTATGACCCTCTCTGTCCCCAGTCTGTATCTTCTCCAGTTCTATCCCTGCTGCAGGAACCTCCACTGCAACTTCTGCCCCTCCAAACTTCCATTTTAGGTTATTCTGCTAATTCTTGGAGCCATTTAGGATTTCATTGAATGAAAAATTTCATTCTCCTTTTTCTCATCGTAGTTCTAATATCGCGATGTGATAATAGAATACACATTCCTACATCAGGCCCTGTCCTCCAAAGCACACGGGGCAGCTCTGCATTTACAGAAAGCAACAGTAAATGACTTTTCCTTTTGTTTTTCCTGTGCTGCAGCACAAGGGGATGGGCAGTGATGGAGAGGGAGGAGAGGCAAGAGGGGGACACAGAGCTGAAGGTTAAAGTCAGCTGTTGCGGTAGAACAATTCTTTAGGCTCTCTCAGTCACTATAAAATTACCAGAAACTTTAAAAGTCATTTAGATAATGAATCTGACAGGGAAAATTAAACCTGGAAGACATTCTACAGGGCTGCCTGGTGGACTGAGAGAAGAGGGCAGGCTGGAAAATAGTAACAGAGGAGTCAATGGTGACTGGAAAATAAAGGAATGATTGATAAGAAGCAAAAACCCCAGCATAACACTTCTTAGTGCTGGTCCTAAATACAGGAGCTGCTTTTTATAGAAACTTTTTTAATGGTGTCTGTAATAAGATAAACAAGAAGCACTTGGGTTGGGCTCTGTATAAATAATCTCCTACTGATAAGAAAAATGACAGTATAAACAGGAGCTAATAATAGTTCCTGCTGAATTTCCTATCTTGTTATTTGAAGCTCCTTTTACCGTCGCTGCAGCTTACTCGGGGGTAGTTATTTAGCCCTCCATGTGGCAGGTGAGATGCCAGATTTTTATCAACAATCATTTGAAGTCGTGTGCTGCAATTTCCCTTAATTGCCAGCAGAATTGTGTCTGGATGCCGAGGCGGTCATGATCAGAAGGCAAAGGGTTAGAGAGACAAATGTAAAGTTATTAAGAGATGCTGCCTCTGAGCTCCCAAATGTGGATGGAGGGAAAGGGAAACGTTTCCAGAAACCAACATGGTTTTGTTGTGTACGACAGTAAAGGGGAGAGGGAGGGTTATGCAGAGGAGCCCTTTGCAGCCAGACGAAATGCTTTGATGGATGATGCCTCTGCAAGGTTTGGAACTATTACCTTTTCCATTTTTTACACATAGGGAGTGAAGGAATAAAAAAAACCCCAACAACTTATTTTCCTGAGGTCACCGTCTGCTGTGGCAGAGCAGGGATTTGAGTTCAGATTTCTCAGTTCTTAGGCTAATGCCATAAATACTAAACTACCATTAAAAAAAATTAAATGCATAGGCCTTGTTTTTTTTTTTTAAAACCAAAAACATCAAAAATAGAGCTTTTCAGTTCTGATGACCTTCCCAATTATTCTGCTTGCATAACTCAGGCCTGTCCCTGTCTTAATTGATAGGAGATCTCCAGGCCTGAGCTGTAGAATATGCTAAACACACAGCATCCAGCACGGTGGAGGGCAGCCTTGAAGCACGGCTGGACCATAAATAAAGTCCCTCAAGGTTTGGAACCCACACAGAAGGATGCTGAGCAAATGCAAATACAAACAAAGTCAAATTTCACTAGTTCCATTGTAAGGAGAACTTACAAAATTGCTGAATTACTGATCAGCTGCAGCGGCAAGAAACTGCATTTTAAAAAACATTTTTTTCCTTCCTTTTTTTTTTTTTTTAATACTCATGACAACACAGGGAAAGATTTGTTTTTCTATGATTTTGATCTTTGCAGGTTTTCTGTAAACAAGCTTTGCTAATCTCCTAAATTGATAGCTGTCCTTTGCAAGCACGTATGATGGGAATCTAGGCCTTTGCTTACAAACTGAAGAATTAAAAGCCCGTCAGTTACTTTCTTCTCCAAATCTGACGTATTCCAGGTGCTTCTAAAAACCTCGCCTGAAAGGAACATTAAAGACATGCAAAGTAGAGTCGCTGAACAAATCTATATGTGAAGGTGAAAACCAGTTACCAAAGACTTGATGAATAGCAGTTTTGAGGGTTATGAGCAGATTTGTACTGCAGATACCCGTTGCCTTCTATTGATGATGCATTTTGCCGTTTCTTTTATGTACTTGAAAGGGAAACTTTTTTCCCCCAAATAATTTATGTAGGAGAGAGTGGGGCTGGCCAGGAGAGCATGAATGCGCTGTCGTCTCCGTTTTGTGTATAATTAGGAAGTGTGACCTGCTCTGGGAAGGAGTGACGTGTGACACAAGAAGTCAGCATCTGAATTGCTTTAGTCCTTTGTGTTTGTCACTTCTTTCTTCACTGTTTTCTGCGAGGAAACTCGTGGTGCTCGTTAGAGCCTGTTCATGTCCTTACTGATGCCGAGCCCAGAGGATGGCAGTCTTGCTTGAGGTCCATGATGCAGTTTGAGAGCGAATTTCCTCAAGGCAGCTGGATTTTCAGGACTCTGGAGAACATATTGCATTAATCTGCTTCTGGCAGCAGGATGATTTCTTTTTTCCTGCCAGTGCAATTTCCTAAAGTAGCGTGATTACAGACGCTGTGACAGGATGGTACCGGTGGTGGTACTAGTCGTTGTCCCTCTGAGTCAACTGTATAAAACCCACTGGAGATGCAAGAAACTCTGATGTGACAATTTGGGGGGGTTTTAATTGAAAGGAGTGAAGGATGGGTTTGTGATTCAGACACTGTCCAGGGATCTGGGAGATCCTGGGTCAGTTCTTCTGTTAGGGACTTTGAATGTGACCTTGAAGCAGTTGGGCTGTTTGAATACAGTTTTTGGGGACTCTAAATGGAGTTGATACACAGGTGAAAGATAATTTATATCTTAAAAACCAAAAGAGGAGGAGAGGTAGAGGGAACCTTTAATAAGCTCAGCTCTTACCCCAGATCTTTGAACCGAGCTTTGGGGACTCTCAGTGGAGTTGATACAAACTCTGAACCGAGTTTTGGGGACACTCAATGGAGTTGATACAAACTCTGAACCAAGTTTTGGGGACTCTCAATGGAGTTGATACGAACTCTGAACCAAGTTTTGGGGATTCTCAATGCAGTTGGTACAAAGATGAAAAATAATTTATAGCATAAAAACAAGAAGAGGAGTGGTGGTGTAGGTAGAGGGAACATTTAAGAAGCTCAGCTTTTGCTACAGATCTCTGAAACAAGGAGAGAAGATAAAAACCAGAAGAGACTGGTGGGAAAAGGGATGTAAAGGGGCTTCTTGAGGTCATCTACTACATTCCTATGACCAGATGGAAGTTTGTCTGCCTAAGCCATACCTGACACCACTATGGAAATCTGCTAGCCAGAGGGCAAAACAGGCTGTGGGCTTTTATCTAGTGCAAAAAATGTTATGGACCTCAGTGCCATTTGTGAGATGCTGCAGTCAGACAACGGTGTGCTGAGAATTTATTGGGGAATCTTTACAAAGCTCCATTTTGCAGAAGCGACTTCAGAAACGGTGAGGACTCGCAGTGAGTTGAATGTGGACGAGGCAATACACAGCAGGAATCCTTTGGCTCCTGCTCCTCTGCTTTGTCTCCAGCACATTGTCTGAAGTGGGTGACATCTGTACCACTTCGTGACAGTATCAGGCAGCCTCTTGAGCAGAATTTGGATTTTCCACGATATGACTCTTGTGGAAGATACTTAATCTCCATTTATAATTTTTACCTAATAATGCTTTGCATTTATATCTTAACGCTGTTATGCAAACACTCAACAAACACTAATTCACTGCAATAAGTGTAAGTGGACTGTAGTAAACAAGTAAATTAATGGTGCCCATTGATTAATAGGAGCCACGCAGCCAGAAGCAGAGACACATTTATGTCCCGTAGCACTGTGGTAAAGAAATGGCTTTTATAAATCAAAATAGTAGATGAGAAGCTGCAAATTTTCAAAACTTGATTTTTTCATTGAGAATGGGGTATCTAGATTGCATGATTTCAGTTGGACTGAAGCCTTGCTTTGGGCTGAAGAGTTTTCTCCACTTAAATGGACTCCTTTCAGTATTAGCTTGTGACTTCCACAGGAACTTGATTGAAATTGGCAGAAATCTGCTAAGGTTTGTGTTTTGGTTGAGTAATTCCACTTCCCTAGTAGCATAAAGGCAATCATATATTGCAATATGAGCCCTGGGGATAGTCAATTCCTGACTGTCCCAGCTGTTCCTGAGCTCTGCCAGTCCTGGGGCAAAGCAGTCTCTGGGAAGGGAGGTTGAGAGGTTCAATAAGTGCCCAGGAAACTAATCCAAACCAGGGTATGATTTGTGGGCTGAGCTTGGCTGAAATGCATTAAGCTTCTCTACCCGAAGCAAAACACACCTATCCCTTTTCGCCAGGACAATTAAAACTTCACAGAATCCAGAATTCTTTATAAGGGAGAAGAGTTAAGAGCATAAACCCTGTGATTTTAAAAATCTGGTCGGAGTAAACCCTCCTGAATATGACACCTGAGAGTCAGGTTTAATCATTCCAAAGTTAACTAGTTTCAGTGTTAAATAGAAAAAGAGAAGGAAAAAAAGAAAAAGCAGCAAGCTACAGGGGGTTGTTTTACACACGTTAAATATGATGATGAGATCTTATAAAACCTGGATGTGTCTCAGGAGGGGAGAGGTGCTTTGGTTTCCGTGTGAAACCCAGCCTGGTACCTGCCTCCCTATTATCACCGAGCAGGTGGTGGCACAGGTGGTGTTGGGCAGTATATTGTTACTCCCAGCACCTCCTAAAACTTGCCTTCTCAGGAGAGTTTAGATGTTGTTAACCCTTTCTGACAGCTGAGGAGCCTCGTGGAGAGCACAGGGAGAGCCCTCCTGCCTGTGGACCTCAAGCTCCTGGGTGGGATGTTGGCAGTAATGACGTGGAGAGCACAGGGAGAGCCCTCCTGCCTCTGGACCTCAAGCTCCTGGATGTTGGCAGTAACAGTGATAAGTTGGAGCTGTGTCTCTCAAATCCCACCTGCTTCTCCAAATCTCAAAATAGATCTTAAATATAAAGAGAGAAGTAAAGCTCCTCATTATCTTTAACAGCTGCAGTTATTCAGTAAACTTTATGGCTTTTTTTTAGATTTTTTTAATGAACCTACAGTTCACCTCCTAGTGCACTTCCCAATCTCTTGCTTTATTTCTTTCCTTATAATGACTGACTTTCCCTCTCTGCATCACTCCTTCATTCACTGTGGTGCTTCAGAAGTAATTGTGTTAACTTCTAGGGGGTTTCCCCCTCTATTACCGTTTTCTTAGAATTCTTGCTTTAGAAACTCTGCAACTTTTTGTCCCTAATGTTGCCTGGATACTTGGAGCTTGAGTCCAGCTTTGCTGACAGACACCAACCCTTTCTGGTTTGTTTTCTGGCTGTTGTTACAGCTGCTGGTAGTTGCCCTGCTCCATTTCTGGGCTGATTTGATCTATATCACATAAACTGTTTTGATGTTTATCTCCCTTTTTATTCAAGCGTTGAGTGATAACGATCTCCTGACTCTCATTATTTATATATAATAGCGGGGAAGGGACTTGTTCCCATTTCACAGATGAAGAAATTTAAGAATCGGGGAAGTTGGGGACAATTCAAGCCAGTGGTAGATTTGGCTTCCCAGTTTGTGCCCTGTTTGCCTGTAGATTGATGGTGCTGGTTCCAGGAGGTACCTTGAGTAAGGCTGAAAATAACAACAGGGAGAAGTTAAAGACATCAGTGATGGGAGGGGGGGAGCTTGAACTCTGCTTTTGCTGTGATTGAAACATTATGAGTTCCTGGGCTTTGTGAGACACCACCTTTTGTCAGTATATAAACAGCTTCAAAACGTTTTAAAAAGAACAAGTTTTTTCTTTCTCTCTCTCTTTATTTTTTTGGGGTTTTTTATCTTGTTTTGCTTTTTTACAGGTATCAGTCAGAGCCGGATCTCCCATTGGCTGTTGCAGCAGGGGTCGGACCTGAGTGAACAAAAGAAAAGGGCATTTTACAGATGGTACCAGCTTGAGAAGACAAATCCTGGTAAAGAAATGCAGTCTAAACATCTCCTGCTGTTCTGTTTATGGAAAAGAAGCCTTTTGTCACTGTTTTTTATTATCATTATAAGTGTAAGTGGACTGTAGTAAACAAGTAAATTAATGGTGCCCATTGATTAATAGGAGCCACGCAGCCAGAAGCAGAGACACATTTATGTCCCGTAGCACTGTGGTAAAGAAATGGCTTTTATAAATCAAAATAGTAGATGAGAAGCTGCAAATTTTCAAAACTTGATTTTTTCATTGAGAATGGGGTATCTAGATTGCATGATTTCAGTTGGACTGAAGCCTTGCTTTGGGCTGAAGAGTTTTCTCCACTTAAATGGACTCCTTTCAGTATTAGCTTGTGACTTCCACAGGAACTTGATTGAAATTGGCAGAAATCTGCTAAGGTTTGTGTTTTGGTTGAGTAATTCCACTTCCCTAGTAGCATAAAGGCAATCATATATTGCAATATGAGCCCTGGGGATAGTCAATTCCTGACTGTCCCAGCTGTTCCTGAGCTCTGCCAGTCCTGGGGCAAAGCAGTCTCTGGGAACGGGCGTTGAGAGGTTCAATAAGTGCCCGAGAAACTAATCCAAACCAGGGTATGATTTGTGGGCTGAGCTTGGCTGAAATGCATTAAGCTTCTCTACCCGAAGCAAAACACACCTATCCCTTTTCGCCAGGACAATTAAAACTTCACAGAATCCAGAATTCTTTATAAGGGAGAAGAGTTAAGAGCATAAACCCTGTGATTTTAAAAATCTGGTCGGAGTAAACCCTCCTGAATATGACACCTGAGAGTCAGGTTTAATCATTCCAAAGTTAACTAGTTTCAGTGTTAAATAGAAAAAGAGAAGGAAAAAAAGAAAAAGCAGCAAGCTACAGGGGGTTGTTTTACACACGTTAAATATGATGATGAGATCTTATAAAACCTGGATGTGTCTCAGGAGGGGAGAGGTGCTTTGGTTTCCGTGTGAAACCCAGCCTGGTACCTGCCTCCCTATTATCACCGAGCAGGTGGTGGCACAGGTGGTGTTGGGCAGTATATTGTTACTCCCAGCACCTCCTAAAACTTGCCTTCTCAGGAGAGTTTAGATGTTGTTAACCCTTTCTGACAGCTGAGGAGCCTCGTGGAGAGCACAGGGAGAGCCCTCCTGCCTCTGGACCTCAAGCTCCTGGATGTTGGCAGTAACAGTGATAAGTTGGAGCTGTGTCTCTCAAATCCCACCTGCTTCTCCAAATCTCAAAATAGATCTTAAATATAAAGAGAGAAGTAAAGCTCCTCATTATCTTTAACAGCTGCAGTTATTCAGTAAACTTTATGGCTTTTTTTTAGATTTTTTTAATGAACCTACAGTTCACCTCCTAGTGCACTTCCCAATCTCTTGCTTTATTTCTTTCCTTATAATGACTGACTTTCCCTCTCTGCATCACTCCTTCATTCACTGTGGTGCTTCAGAAGTAATTGTGTTAACTTCTAGGGGGTTTCCCCCTCTATTACCGTTTTCTTAGAATTCTTGCTTTAGAAACTCTGCAACTTTTTGTCCCTAATGTTGCCTGGATACTTGGAGCTTGAGTCCAGCTTTGCTGACAGACACCAACCCTTTCTGGTTTGTTTTCTGGCTGTTGTTACAGCTGCTGGTAGTTGCCCTGCTCCATTTCTGGGCTGATTTGATCTATATCACATAAACTGTTTTGATGTTTATCTCCCTTTTTATTCAAGCGTTGAGTGATAACGATCTCCTGACTCTCATTATTTATATATAATAGCGGGGAAGGGACTTGTTCCCATTTCACAGATGAAGAAATTTAAGAATCGGGGAAGTTGGGGACAATTCAAGCCAGTGGTAGATTTGGCTTCCCAGTTTGTGCCCTGTTTGCCTGTAGATTGATGGTGCTGGTTCCAGGAGGTACCTTGAGTAAGGCTGAAAATAACAACAGGGAGAAGTTAAAGACATCAGTGATGGGAGGGGGGGAGCTTGAACTCTGCTTTTGCTGTGATTGAAACATTATGAGTTCCTGGGCTTTGTGAGACACCACCTTTTGTCAGTATATAAACAGCTTCAAAACGTTTTAAAAAGAACAAGTTTTTTCTTTCTCTCTCTCTTTATTTTTTTGGGGTTTTTTATCTTGTTTTGCTTTTTTACAGGTATCAGTCAGAGCCGGATCTCCCATTGGCTGTTGCAGCAGGGGTCGGACCTGAGTGAACAAAAGAAAAGGGCATTTTACAGATGGTACCAGCTTGAGAAGACAAATCCTGGTAAAGAAATGCAGTCTAAACATCTCCTGCTGTTCTGTTTATGGAAAAGAAGCCTTTTGTCACTGTTTTTTATTATCATTGATCAGTCACTCCTTGGTTTAGTGTACTGCAGAGGTGTTCCCTCCTACCAGGTTAGTTTTTTAGGAGGGGAGGAACAAATCTAAGTTGTCTATCCACCTCCTTGCTCGTGGTTACCTGCCCTGTCCTCCCACCAGTAGCCAACTCTGGGCATCAGAAGCAGTCAATGAAGTTGCAGTCAGCTAAGGTGAAATACGTGCCCAGGCTCTCCAGAATGAACAGCTAGAAATGGCTGAATAATATAAAGTTGCAGCAAAAAACGTGCAGTTTGGTGGAGAGGAACTTTGGGATCACTTCGGAAGGTTTTGGGTTGGATCTCAAGCTCCAGGATGGGATGCTGACAGTAACGGTGATAAGTTGGAGCTGTGTCTCTCAAATCCCACCTGCTTCTCCAAATCTCAAAATAGATCTTAAATATAAAAAGAAAAGTAAAGCTCCTCATTATCTTTAACTAACCAGCAATCTGTAAAATCACAGTTGAATTAATTTCCTTCCATTGTTCTTCTCCCTGGATTTTGTTTGACCACAGTTCTTTTTTTTTTTCCCTTTAGCAGTTTTATTGTAAAGATCTAAATATTTAAGTTTAATTTCCTTTAAACAATGGCATGATTAAATTAACTGTGTAATTGTTTTAAGGAATTTGAAACTCAGGCTCTCTAATGTGAACTTGGATTCAATATCCAGAGTTGTATTAAGAAGAATTCCAGTGAAAAGAGAACCTCCAAACTTGTGCTTTGTGTGTGGAAGCTGAAAATCAAGAGGCTCCAGCTGTCAGTTGGCCTGGGAATATTTTAGTTCAACTCTGGGTGGGTTCAAGGCCACAGCTGAGCCTGTCCTTTCTGCTACACATCTAGAAAATGGCTTTAAAGAATAAAAGTGCCAAGGGTTGTGAGGTGCTGGCAAGAAGCAGGGACCTCCGAGAAGCCCTGATTCCAGGTTGGACTCGTGATGCTGAGGAGCAGCAAAATTACTGGGTACGACCTTTGGGTACCAGCTGCTTTGAAAGCCTCCTGGTTGTACCCTATGAAATAACTCAATCCTTTTGAGGGAAGGTGTTGCCTCCAGAACAGTGGAGAGAACTAGAAGTTCTTTGGAAGGTATATTTTGGAAAAAACCCACCAAAAGTCCTCTCCTGATGATGACAACTGTTGTGTGGATCTTCCCTGTAGCCTCACATCTTTTTTCGCCAATGTAACGTGGAGCTGTTCAGGAAATAGGATTTTGGGCTGGGATAAGAGAAGCCTTTTCAAACTTAGCACTAAAATCAGTGCTTCTTCCTCTTAACCTTCTTTCTTTCCCTGTGTCCACAAGCTCACATTTTGTGTGTCCTTTTGCTCTTGTGAAGTGTCTGAGGAAGGAGGACTCGCAGCACTGAAGGTTGTGGCTTAAATTGAACTGAATTGGCATTATAACCTGTGCTTCTCTGAGGCACTGTCTTGCTGAGGTCATCTTCACTTCTCTTTGCACACACATGGAAAAATAGCTTCAAGAGTTGTTTGAGTGTAACCTTTCTTCAAATAAGAGATATTATGCAGGATTTTAAAGAAATGTTAGAGGCAAATGGCTCCTCTGCCCGTGCCGAGGGACTTCTTGGATGCACTTAAATTCCCTTTAGAAACAAATAATATTTGGTTTGTTTTTAGAGACTCGGGTAAAGGGGAACCCTGCGTTTTCCTGTAGCTTTTTGAAAAGTCTACTTGAGGAAAATGTGGTTGTATTTGTTTATTGGAGGATAATCTTGTAGACTTTGAATTATTGCCATCTACTCTATTGTGGGTCAGACTTGCTCACCAAGAGATCGTTAACGTGCGTATGTGCAAGTTTATACAGTGTATTAAGGAAGGTACCAACCTTGTCCAAAGCATCCTGATTTGAAATTGCTGTTCTAAAACCAATTTGGAGCCTAACTTCTGGATACTGCTTAGAGTATCCTGTAGTTACTAGACATGACTAGCTGTTCTGCTGGCTTCTTTTGGGTCAGAAAATGAGAAATCAGTAGAGCCTCCTGCGACGTGCACAAATCACTGCACTCTGCTCTGTGCAGAAGATTGTCTTCCTTTGAATAAACTTAAGAGATGAAGTGACTGGCATGTATTTTTTTTTATTTGGTCACTTACTAGGAAGTGGCATTTAGCTTTCTCATATATCCCATCTTTTCCAGTTCCAGCTGCTGGGAATAAAATCTCAGTCCTTCTCTTTTGGGTGCAAGAGTCAGGTCTGTCTGCACAGAAGCACCTACGTGTTTGAGTTACTGAGGGGCAAAGTGAGGTTTTAGGGAACTTTTAGTTTCCCCAGTTCTTTAATCCCTTAGTTTAGAAAACTGGATCTTCAGAGTAAGCCCATATTCTGACTGAATTTGTTTGGTTAGTAATGGAAAAGAAATTTTCTCTTAAAATTGAAACAGTTTTGAAGGACTAGGACACCGGATACAGTGAATTTATGAACTTTTAAAGAAAGAATAGTTGTTTTATGCAGAAAGGACTGGCTATCACTTGACAGACCTGTAGTCTTTCCCTGGCTCTTCCAGTTTTGCTGTATGACTCTCAGCAAATTATTTCAGCTCTGCACCTCACTTTTCCATCTCCTAGAGGAGGGTGAGTCCATTTGCTGGACACACCTCGTCTGTAAGGTCCTCACAGCAGGACCTGGCCTTCCCTGTGCTTATATATTGTGCCCAGCCAGGAGTTTCTAATATAGAGGGGACAAAAAGTGACCTATAAATACATCAAAAGAGATTTTATTTTACTTCCCAAATGTATAGTGGTGCCATATAACTCTTGAAATCCTCCATAAGCATCTGCTAACCCAAGAACTTTGTGTTGTGGAGCCTTAGGGCACTTTTGAGACATCGTTTCTGTGAAGATGATGCTCCTGTACAGAAGGAACTCACAATTCCATCACGTTCATTATTTACCAGTTTGCTCAGACCTCTTGAATGTGCTGTTTCCTGTTTGCTTGGGTTTGATTCCTGGTTTGCGTGGGCAGTTTCTCTGTTTCTCCTCTCTCTGGTGGTAGGTGTTCAGGCAGCAGCAGATTGGGACGTTGCAAAAGAGACTTAAGTCTCCTGGATCAGAAAAAAAAGCCACCACTTATCCTACTGTAGGCAATAATCTTGCTGAAAAATTTCATGATGGATGTTTTCCTGGTAGGAGCGATGGAGTTAACGCTGCAGATTCCAGTGTACTAGGGATTGTAAATTTTTCTGGAAACAGTTGCCAATTAGGGTGAAAGGCAGGTTTTTTTGTTGAAGGGGAGAAGTCAATGCTAAATGCTGGTGTTTGAAAGGCCTTTAATCCAATTAATAGGGATGCTTTTCATTTAGATCAGGCTTTTTTTTTTTTTTTTTTTTTTGACAGGCACCACATCTCTTGTGTTTTGTAGAGGGCTGAGAGCATTTTGGCAGTAGATAAATAGTATAAGTGATGTGGGTTTTTTTTTTTTTTTTTTTTTTTTGGACAGGCACCACATCTCTTGTGTTTTGTAGAGGGCTGAGAGCATTTTGGCAGTAGATAAATAGTATAAGTTTCAGAAGCCAGTATATGAGCGCATAGAGTCCTATAATGTTCTGATTATTTTTTTCAGAGCCCGTGGGTTTTAAAAAAAAAATAATAAATCCTCGTTTTACATTGGTAGTTGTTAGCCTGATTAGTTTGGCTGGCGCTGGGTCTTGGGCAACGTGTGAAGTTTGTTCTGGAGTTACTTTAGTGTGTCTTTTTGCCTCTGTGTTCTGCAAAGTGAAGCTGGCACCTAGAAATGATGTGTTGGAGTTACAGATGGAGACAGACTGCTTCCATTTAGGCTGGAGGATTTATTTCTGCCAGTCTGCTGTAATAGAAAGGCAGCTGTGGTCACCTTGGAGAAAACCGTGTGTTGTTCCTCCTTGAACAAAAGGGGAAAAGAAAGGTAGTTATTATCAAGATGTAGCATCTCTTGTGTTATTCCCAGAGCGCTTCTTGTTTAGCTATGAAAGAAAAATAAATAAATCAGGGAGTGGATATCCCACAAGATTTGCACTGGAAACATATTGTTGGTGATTTACTGTTTCACAGAGAAAACAGTCCCTGTTCTGATCCTCTCCATCCAAGCCATGAGCTCTGGAGAGAAGTTTTTGCTGCGCAGGCTGCGGATTCCAGCCCAGCCTGGCTCAGTCGTAACTGAAAGGTGTTTATCATGTGATCTCAGGTCAGTCTGGCTAAAAATAAAGCGTGACATCTGTTCTTATCAGTGTAATACATGATAGGGGCTTGAGCCTAAATGGTTTCTTGGTGCTGGGAGATGGCCTGAGGCCTGCTCCGGCCGTTCTGCGCATCGCCCTGACGTGGCGGGGCCTCTCTGAGCCACGTGATGGGGATCAGCAACTGCACGTGATGCTTTTAAGAGCAAGACTCTTTCTTCAGGACAGTGTCTGGGATGTGCTGAGGAGGTGGTGGGCCTTTGCCACCAGGAATTTTGAATACAGAGATAGAGCTGCCTTCCAGCTGGAGAGCATCGCTCTTGCCTTCCTCTCCCCGGACCCCACCTGCAGCATCCTCAGCTGAGACAAGGCTGGCTCGCACGGAGGGAATTCAGGATTGTTGGAAAAAAAAAGGTGCTCAGTGCTGGCAGGCAGTAGGAAACGTCGCTTTTCATTTTTTTTTTGTGAAAGGAGCTCTTCCCAGACGGTTCACCCCTCTCGCCCTTCTAGACGTCTTGCTTTTTGATGCATATACTGAGATGAAAATCTCACGCTGCGCTTGCTCCGCTCGTTCTTCCTCCAGAGACAGGTTTCGCTTCTCAAAAGCTGTTTGAGGGGTCTGTAAAAAAGAATCTGACCTAGTAACTAGGATGTAACTTATTAAGCTGTGAAGAAGCGGAGCTGGGTGGCGAGAAGATCGCGATGAAGCCTTGGAGCAGCAGAATGAACTCACTTAATTGAGGGGGATGAAGAAAAGCATGATTATTACCTTATCAAACGTGGCAGCAGCATGTATGTCCTCCACCCCTTTTGCCACTTACACATCCAAGCACACCTTAGGCCTCCGTATGTGTTCAGATGCTTCTGTGTGTGCAAAAGCAGAATTACTTGCTTGGAATTCTCAGCAGACTTCTCCCTTATCTGCTGCTGCTATTGATGTTACCCCATAGAAAAGAGAAATAGGGGAATTGATCTAGCAAGGCTACTAAAATGAAAAAAAAAAAGCATCTTATATTCAGTAAGCGAACGGAGCAGGAGCAAATTTGTGCTTTAAATGCAGATATTTTTTTTCAACCTTGGTCTGAAAAATCTCAGGCAAATTTAATCAAAGTACTCTGCGTCTCTTACCTTGATGTTAGGCATTACTGATACTTCTGTGCTCTCCCTGTGAGATGAAACCCTCAGGTAGGGAAAGATTATTGCTAAGACAATGAAGGGAGAGCTAATTTCTTGTCCGGTTCTCCCTCTTTTTAAAATTCTTAGGACGTTTTTTTAAAGTGTTTTTAGGTTTTGAAGTGTATTTAAAACCTAGCAACTCGATACTGACCCAGACCCCTAAATCGTGCCAGTAAGAGAAAGAATTGATAAGGAACTTGCCTTGAAATAGCCTTCCAAGGAATTGGCAATACAGGAAATATTTCATGTGGCAATAAAACTAAGTAATCCGTGTAGGCTCGTTAGCTGGGGATTAGAGGAGTCGCTGTTGGTTGTGTATTCAAGGCAGAGACTGTGGGCTTCACTTCCTATAGATTTCTCCTCTAATTTTTAAATTACTTTGGGCTCCACCACCTCACGCAGATGCAAGCCCCTGGCAGTAAGGAAAATATTCATTTCTGGAAAGGAAGACAGCCAAATGCGTAAATAGCCAATTTCTTCCTTTTTAACTGGAGGAATTTGTTTACCGATTAAACTCCAAGTTCCCTTTAACCCTTTTACTCTGCTTGAAATTAAACAAGCAGTGTTGTTTCGCTGACACGGTGTGGTTTTAGGATGAAATCCTCCCCATTCGGAGGAAGTCTGTGTGCCCAGAGGGATTTGCTGCCTCGGCCCTGCTTTTCCACGTGCACAGTCCTGTGTTCCTCCTGCTTCTCTTGGATCTATCCCGCCTGGCTCGGTGCACAAATTCCAGTTGGACTCAGTGTGCATATATGGGATATAGGTGGTGATTTATCTTTTCATACGACTTTATTTATTTATTTTTTGCACACTAGAACAGCTATTTCTTCCCTCCGGGGGGAAGTCACTGGGGACAAAGCTGTCCTTCAAAACATACCCTCTTTTCCGTACTGATGTCCTACACCAGGTTCCCATCCTCACCAAGGGATGTAGGAAAGAGTCTCCCGGTGTGTCTTGATTTATCTTGATTTATTAACTGTGAGGCTGGTGTGGAAAGCATCAGGGGTAAGTTTCAAAGGGCCTTTCCTGAAGGCATCCTGCCAAGTCCTGTCTCTTGCTTGATGCTTTCCAGCTCAGGCTTCTTGAAAGGGGAAATATATCCGTAGAAGGGGGACAGAAGAACAAAAGTGTGATGTTAATCTGCTTTCAGTGACTTTTTCAGGCAGCCTGGCACACAGGAGCCCGTGTTTGCACAGGTCACAGGGTGTATTTCTATTGGTGTGGAGCTATTTCAAGTGTTTCCTCAGCTCTTCGGGCACGTTGCGATACCTTTGGTGTAAATTCACATTTTGCTGTCTGAGACTGTTGTACAATTAAATAGAAATCTGCTATTTCCAAGAGGTAGCAGCACAACCTAAATGAATCCCAGCTGGGGCATAGCTCACCCCTCCTGTAAGAGGTTTTTCCTTTTGGTGAAGACACAGGACATCTCTCAGCTCAGTTCTGTCTCCCTTGGATTTCCATGGTCACCTGGTACCTCTCCAGCTTGGAGGTTGGGGATGGGAACTCTAGCTGGCTTGGTGTATCTTCAAGGTGTCTGTGTTTGATAACGCTTTTCTTTTTTAGTTCCAGTGGTTTCATCATCTGTCTTGTCTTTTTTTTCACGAGCAGGAGTGAGAAAATGGGCCTGACTTTTAATCCACTAGGAAACACAGTATTTATTATTCTTAGGGGCTACGTTAAGCATGAGACCTGCTCCTATCCCAATAGAAGAGCCAGAATGGAGACAGACGCCTCCCCCAGTCACAGCTACCTCTGGGACCTTCAGACTACGGCGAGGCAGTCGGTTCACGTGGAGAAAGGAGTGCCTGGCTGTTATGGAAAGGTACGTCGCTTTGGGGTTACGGAGATGGGCATTTTAAAGCCAATACGAGTATCTTTTTTCTTGCTCTGGTGAACACCAACTTCATTTCCATGGATGTGCTTCAGCATCGCGCAGGTTAATGAGAGTGTAATCATTTGATTCTCAACGATAGAGTAGGAGGAGCCATTTCACCCCTTTTGTTGTTTAAAATGATGTTATACTCCTCTGGAAAATATGTTATTTTTCATAGTTCCTAAGACATCTTGTCGTTAGTGCAGTCTGGGAGTGGTGGTGTTCAGCTCTTCCCTTGCTTTCCCAAAAAACCTTTCCATGTTTTTGGAAAGGTTCTGGCTTTGGCTCGGTGGGGGTCTGCACGCTTTTCACATTCTGCATTTCTCCTTTCCCAATGTCCTGCTTTTGTCCTCATAATGTATCATATTATTTCAGAGTTGATTTCGGCAGCACTGTAATTGTTCTGGGTGTATAACTTCGCCTAACAAGCAGTAGATTCCGTGTCCAAAAAGTCCCTTCCAGCTTTTTTACATGCTTTTACAGAGCAAAGTGGATCTTTCAAATACATATGCAGAGTGGCAGGTGATCATTAGAGCTCCCAGCTCTTCAGTCCTACCGAGAGGAAGCACGCTCTGAGCCTGCTCCCCTGGCTGCCTGGCTGCTTTGCCTTTCCCTCTGTGTACAGTAATGTCTCTTTTGTGGATAATATCCTATAATAGAAAAGGTCTAGTGAACTCAGACGTAGTTTAGGGATGAATGCTTGTTTCTGTTCAGGGCTAAATGGCTGGGAGGAGTTTTCCTCCCTCTGAGAGCGTGAGGAACCTCCCTTCCATGAAGGCACCAGATGACTGTGCGCTACGCTCCTTTCTGCTTTGCAGCTCACTCCTTTGAGTCCTCGGCCAGCAGATTTTTAGGATGTGTTTTTGCCCTTTCTGTAGTGCTTCTGTTTCTTTCCTCTTGGTTGCACGAGGGTCTTTGGAGCTGTTTAGGAGCAGGAGAGTGTCTCCTCTTGTCTAAGCTAAGACCAAAATACTGAGCTCCCTCAGGAACCCAAGCATTTTTACACGCAAGATAGACATAATTCTGTGTGGCTGTGGGTCATGGTGGGGTCTTTGCAGGGCTCAGACCAGTAACTGAGACCAGTAATCATAGCTATAGAACAAGTGAGAATGGTTTTAAACTGAAAGAGGGGAGATGGAGCTGAGATGTGGGGAAGAACTTGTTTGGTGTGAGGGTGGTGAGAGCCTGGCCCAGGTTGCCCCGAGAAGCTGTGGCTGCCCCATCCCTGGAGGGGTTCAAGGGCAGGTTGGAGGGGGCTTGGAGCAACCTGGTGTGGTGGGAGGTATCCCTGCCCAGGGCAGGGGGGTGGAACTGGATGGTCTTTAAGGTCCCCTTCAATCATTCTGTGATTCTATCCTGCTTTCCTTCTTGGTTTCTCTCTGGCCTGAAGTGTGATAACTGCTATTATTTGCTGTTTGACTCAAGATAGTGCCTTAAACCCCTTTGTGCTGGGTGCTGTGGGAAAGCAGAGCAAAAGGAGAGAGTTAAGCAAACAATCACTACCCTTTCCTCCTGCAGAGCTCTCCTGTGATGCTCTCAAGAAGTCAGACAACCTGTAATCGTTTGGTTGTGTGTTTGTGAGAAATATACGAGATTTGGGTTTCCATATGGAAAGAAACAAGTTGGTGTTGACATTGGAAATCATCCAGTTGTTTGGGCAGATACGTAATCACTCCATCTAATTTTTCATTACCCTCTTTCTCCTTCTTTATCATTCTGGGCTTTGTTTGCTGTGTCTTGTGCCCTACAAGGTCTTTGCTGCTGAGGTTTTCATCGTGTTCTGCTGGTAAATGGAGACTTCTGCCACGTTGCCTTAGTCCTGGCTTTGATATTAATTTGCAAAGTTCTTGCTGGGTCACCACAAGCACTGAATTTCACAGCCTTATATGTGGCTACTGGAAAGTATGGCTGGGGAGTTGTACTTGAGGCAAGAACACAGTAAACTCATGGTAAAAGCTTTGTACGGCAATAAAACTACCCCATAAAGCAAGTTGGGAAGGTGGTTGTTTCACTGTTATACTTTAAACAGGCCTCATTGAGCTGGAAGGATGGGCTGGTTTGTGTGACAAGTTTTGAAAGAGTGGGAGGAAAATGCTCTCTTGGGAGCCCGAGGACGAAGGTAACTAATTTCACTTAAAAGTCACCAGATTCTTCCAGGCTTGTCCGTAATATGGCTCATAACATGAAGGTAACCAGGCTCTGGCTGTCTGGCCCAAACAGATCAGGTTCCCTTGGTGCTGTGAGGTCAGGAATTAAGCATTTGGCCTACTAAAATGGTGTTTGGCATTGCATGTGGTCTGCTGCCACTTAGCTGCTAATTTGCATTCTCATCTGAAGGATTAAGTTTTGACTGAGAGAGGAGACATCCTACTCTGTTTGATGGACTGTTTTCCTTAATGAAATGCAAGTATCATTGCGCTGTGTTTGTACCTGGCGGTGCTGGATTGATGGTTGGACTTGATGATCTTAAAGGTCTCTTCCAACCTCAATGATTCTATGGTTCTACGTCCTGCAGCATCTTGGTGCCCTCTTGGTGTTTGCAGGGATTTGCACACCCAGTTTTTGAGCTTTTCATCTGGGAAGTTCAGTAAAGTGCTTGTTCATCTGGGCTTCTGGCTACTCAGTGATGAGAAACAGAGATCCAGGAGACAATTCCACCTCACTAATGTAACTCATGAGGGTTATATGCACCTTTCTGGCTGCAGAAGAGGAGCCTTCTGCAATTAGACCTAACTTTGGCGATGTAGTTAAATGCCTGAAGAGAAGAGGGTTGAATCTAGACCTCAATGGAAACTCTTGTGTAGGTAACGCAGAGCTACTTCTTCCTACAAACTTCTGAAACGTTGCTCCAAAGCTGTATAAACATTTTTTTGGGGGGTGAGGATCAAAGTCTTGGGCTGCTCTATCAGTTCATTGTGCTTTTAACTTGGATTCAGCTGGTCGCTAGAGGTTGGTGTGTCAGACCAGCTGAGAGCACTTCAAGGGAAGACTCTGAATTTGATTGCAAAAATTAGAGGTATTAACTTCTAGGAGACTGCTCTCCGACTGAAAATGCCCAGCACTGGGCAGGATTTGGCCCATCAACTGAATGAGAAGGGTGAGGATTGAAGGGCTGCTTTCTCTTTCTTAAAAGAATGTAAATCAACAAAAAAAATCCAGTGCAATTAATCGTTATGTTGGTGCCAAGCCGATGTAATTAAAATTAGAGTTAGGGCCAGCACATACACTTGAATGTCTAATGTACATAAGTGTCTGTATACAGGGGACGTGTATTAAAGCAACTAATTGGTTTATACTGGATTTCCAGAATGCTGCTTGCGGTTTCTGTAATTCAATTCTCCAGTCTTTACTGCTTTTTTGGAAATTCTCCCAGGGTAGTTTATTAGTTGCTAGGCTTAGATTTCGGATGATAGATTCAGGTCTCTTTTCTCCCTCTCTCCCTTTTCTCCCTTTCTTTTTTTTTTTTTTTTTTTTTTTTTGTAAAATACCTCTCCGAATATTTATGCTCTGAAGGTTAAGAGGAGCAATAGTTCCAGAAAGTAAAGTTCTATATTTAACTGCAGACTAGGTGTGGTTCAGACGACTGCAGTGCAAGCTCCCTCTCGCTGCTGCTTGTGCCGGTGAGACCAACCTTGACCCGTTCTCTTCTCCAGCCTCCTGCTCGGGGGATCTGCTGAGGTCTGTGTGTGGTGATGGTGGCGCCTGGTTAACCCTCCTTTGGGAGCTGCTGCAGGCCTTTTTGTGAAAACCTCAGGTTCAACTTAAAAATCTGCTTCTGGTTCCGTTTCGTGTTCTTCGTTACGGCTTGTCCCAAAGATAATTTTCTTTTTTTTTTAAGTCTGCTTTATTACTTCTTTTCAACCCCGCTTGTTAGAACTACAAAATTGAAAATTCCCTTAGGGTTTCCTGAAGCTGTGTTGTCATGTCTATCTTTGGGGTTTTTTTTTCTTTTTTTTCTTCCTTTTCTAAGTGATTGGTCCTTCTCCTCTAATCATATGTTGGAGTTGAGGTTGATCTTCTTTTTCAGGCAAAAATCCCCCTCCCAGATTGGCAGCAGAATCAATGACAATATACTTGTTTTAAGGCACTTTTGTTGAGTGCCATTAAAGACTCCAGGGTGGGGGGGAGGAAAGGGGGGAAGATGTTGAGTGTTGTTTCTTAAGCATATGCTTTATCCAAAGATTAAATTAAAATAACTGTAAATTCTGCTCTAAACAAAATGGATAATTCATCGGTTGAAAGTTTTTCACTTCGTCTGGGGAGCAGGGACTTTCTGGCTGAGGGTTATTTGGTTTGATTTTATTGGTCTGGTTTTTATACTTTAACACTTGTCTCTGCTCTTGAAGCATCCTTTTGTAAAGGCGCATTTAGATTAAATGAGACTAGATGATAGAGATACCTGTTATCCCCCGTTTCATAGATTGCAAAACAGAGTCAGGTGTTTCACTTGGCGGCGTGATCCCAGGCAAGTTTATTCAGAAGAGAAATGGGTTTAGATTTCCTGAGATACTGAGGGTAGAGTTTCGTGATGTCGCTGAGCCCAACGAACAGTTTGTCACCGTCTCCTCCTTAGGTGTTATCCCATCCCATCGCCCGTCTCAGTTCCTCCTCCTCACTTTCTCTCCTCCTGCCACCCTGCGGTGTGCCAGATAGGCTTCTTGTCTGATGGAAACCCCAGAAACACCAGCCAATTTGGCTTGGGTCAGAAAAAAAGAAATCCTTTTTATTTCCCACTGTTTCACTTATTGGTTCTGCTTGCTGTGGTGTCCCCGAGCTGGCCTGGGGCAAGTGACAGGAGAGCACAGGAAAGGGGGAATTCAACAAATGGATGTACAAATTTTCCACAGTGCTCTTTTGGTCTGCTTGGTTTTGTTCCGATTTTATTTGGTTTGTGTTGGATGAGTTTCCTGGTTTGGTTAAAAGCATGGGCACTCTGTCGGTCGTGGAAG